ACAAAGGGTAGATATTTCAACAATGTATATATATATATATAAATATTGTATATATATATATATATATATATTGTATATATATATATTGTATATATATATATATATATATATATATATATATATATATATATATATATATATATATATATATATATATATATATATATATATATTCCTATACTTTACAACTAAAAAATAGCTCTTGGCTTGTTTGTGGTTTTAAAGCAGACAAATTTAAGGTTAGATTATGTCAAAACACATTAATTTAATTGCAGGAAGTAACTAAACCACAAAACCACAAACTAAAAGACTAGAACTTTTTAAAAACATTTTAAATGTTTTTAAAAACATTCTGAATGTTTTTATTTTATTTTTTTTTTTAAATAAAAACATTCTGAATATTTTTTATTTATTTTTTAACTATATAGCATGTGTGGAGTGTTGCTACATCGACTATCTTACATGCTGACTTGCAACGAAGTGCATTGACTGAGGGTTTGGTTTGCGCAGGCAGCCTATCAAATAATTATTTAAAAAAAAAAAAATTTTCCGTTCTGAAAAATTAAAAAAAATTTAAAACTGTTATGGTAAAAACTTAAAGAAAATACAACCTGTAAGATAGTCAGTGTATGAACTACATTTTATGAGGGTTAGGCATAAGGCAGCAAACTTTTCTTTCATTATTCCTCATTTTTTTATTCTTTTTCTGAAAACGCAGTATGTAATAAAGATAAGAAAAACTAGTAACAATTTGTAATCTATATACATTTTAGTAGATAGATTTTAATGTACTCAACAAAATAAAATGTTCAATGTTCTTAAAAAATCTGTTCTTTTAAGAACATTGAACATTTTATTTTGATATAATAAATAAAGTAGAAATCAATTATCAATTTTGGTGTTTCATCAATAAAGATTCTTTAAAGATTTCTGAGAAAAAGATTATTTATTATTGTTCTGTTTATCATTTATTAAACTTTTTTATTTATTTATAATAGGATTAGAAAAAAGCAATAATCTAAAGACTTGTTTTCTATTCAGTGTGTTCCAGAACAGAGCAATCACTAAATATATAAAAAAATCATTAAAAAAACAAATAAATTAAAACAAAAATTATCAGTACCTTCATTATTAATTTTAATTTCTTTTTGGCCATTATTAGAAACTGCATATTCACCATTGCATGAGCCATGTATATGTCGCCCATTTCCAAACTGAACTGTAATATCTGACAGAGTTTTATTTACAATAACTGTGGGAAACCTATCATGCTCAATCTATAAGAGGTGAGATTTTATATATATATATATATATATATATATATATATATATATATATATATATATATATATATATATATATATATATATATATATATATATATATATATATACATATACGGATGGCTCTGCGCAAAATTGGCCTATCTGCAATATCCGCAAAAAATATTTTCGGTCTATCTGCAATCTCCGAGAAAAACATTTTTGGACTATCTGCAATCTCCGCAAAAAACATTTTCGGTTTATCTGCAATCTCTGCAAGAAACATTTTTGGTCTATCAGCATTCTTCAGGTGAACAAATTTTTAATCTAATGATTTTTTGCACCCTAAATTAATGCAATTTATTTTCATTTCAAAAAACAAATCTGAAGTATTATATCAAACAATAAGAGCAATACATGCTCTGCTTATGTTATGCAAATTATCAATAAGTTATAGATATTTTTATCAACAGTCTTTTAAAATAAAGTTTAACGTGCATCATTTAAATTTGATTAGCAGTACTTAGTTTAAATATACACTTAAAACAGTTATGTTATGTAACTGTTAGCTTATGGAAAATGCTTTTAGAAATTCATTTTAATACTATCAAGCAAGAACTGTCCGCAACTACTTTAATCACAAAACAAATTTAAACCAAGTTTAACTTGAAATTAGTATGCATAAAGTTTATACATATGATGCACACATTTATGATAAACAAAACATTAATTATCCAATGTGTAACTTATCATATAAGCAATTCGATGTTAAATTAGAATACTAATGGAATAGAAAAAACTGGATTAGCTTACGTCGAAACCGTTTTCCAACGCTGACTTGAAGAAGCAAAAGTGTTGGAACATTGTTTATTGTCTTGGAAGCTAGTGCTTTATTAACAGAATAAAACTAATACTATTACTGTGTTAGTAGTCAGTCAAGACATATATTATAAAAATGATATTTGTTTGGTTAAATATAGAGCTGACACTTTAACTTAATATTCTTTAAAATTCAATTAGTTTTTGTCTAACATTGCTACGAACAAACAAAAATACACTCATAATCATATCAATAAATGATGTTGTATATATATATATATATATATATATATATATATATATATATATATATATATATATATATATATATATATATATATATATATATAGTTATTTAAACAATATAATTTTAATTACCTAAATGTATGTTTAATTAAATATTAATAGACAATATTAAATATATATTATTAATTTAATATTGTCTATTAAATATGACTAAGATTAATTAAATTGCATGTACTTTAAAATTATAAACAATTTGGTATTCCAATCCATGTGCAAGTAAAGCATTTGTTAATTTTAAAAAAGTTTTATTTTTATTATTTTTGACTGCTCTCTTTTTAAAAATATAGAGTTGTTATTTATAATATTTATGTGAAAATAAAATCTTTTTTTTATATAATTACAACCCCAAGGTTTGTATTATATTACCCCAAGAAATATATTTTCAAACAATGTTCTGAAGCTTTCAGTTGTTTATCAATATACCAAATCTGGAAAAAAACTGCTTTTGGTCCTGTTATTTACTTGGGCATGGGTCTATCAAAAGTCAAAACAGTTTTTAGTTAGCATTTTTTGCCGACTTTAGTTTCTCTAATTCTGAGGGTTATATATATATATATATATATATATATATATATATATATATATATATATATATATATATATATATATATATATCCTTATAGTGTAGTCGAAAGAGACTTTTATGGTAAAAAAAGTCTCTTTCGACTACAATTTTTATTACCTTGTCTCTTAAGCTGTATCTGATTGTCATCGAAATGTCAAAGCAATTAATTTGTTGCTGAAGTACATTAAATTTTATTGTTTTTTAAAAAAACCGCAATAATAATGACTAGAAAGTTTTTTAATTAGTGGTATTTTTGTTTTTGTTTTATTAAAAAACATTCTTAAAACATGCGTAAGTGTTGCTACATCAATTATCTTATAGCCTGCTGCTACAAGGGAGTGTTACTACATCGACTATCTTATAGCCTGACTCACAAGGGAGTGCTGCTACATAGATTTACAAATAGCCTGACTCGCAAGGGAGTGCTGGTACATTAACTGACTAATAGCCTGACTCGCAAGAGAGTGCTGCTACATCGACTCCGAGGGTTTGGTTTGGACAGGCAGTCTATCATTTAAAAAAAAAAAAATTTTTTTCAAGTTTTTTAACATTTTATGTTCATGCTTATTAACGCACTCTTTAAAACAACAGTTTATGAGAAAAACCTTGTGACTACCATGCAAGACTATATATATAAACATATATATATATATATATATATATATATATATATATATATATATATATATATATATATATATATATATATATATATATATATATATAATTTATTTATCTGGCGGGTCAGAAAATTCAGATTTCTGAAAAAAATCAAGGAAATTAATTTCAATTTTCAAAAAGTCAGGGAAAATAGCTCTGTGCAAACTCACACGACATGTGAGTTGTATATCATGCACATCATGACATGTGAGTTATATCATGTATGTAATGCATGTAAATAAAAAATTTATTAAGCAAATTTTTTTCTTTTACTGATCCTTTAAACGTAGGTTGTATTAATATTTATATATTTGCAATTAAAAGCATTTTTCTAAATGTTGAGCTTTTGTAGCTTTAAATTAAAGAGAAAGAGAGAGAGATATATAAAGATACATTTAAAATATATTGCAGATATTACAAGATTAAAGCAACAGAAAAACAAGTAAAGCCTGTGGGTCACACAAGCTTTTATGAGTTACTAAAACAAAAGAACATTTTTATACACAAACCTAGAAAGGATCAATGTGACATTTGCGTTAAAATTCAAGAAAGAAAAAATGATACACCTGATTATATTCTTCCTTCTAGCTATACAGATCACTGGCTTTTAAAAAACACAAGCTCAAAATAGTAAAGATTTTGATAAAAAAAAGTTGTTTTCAACGAATTAGTTCTAACAATGGATTGCAAACAAACTCTTTTATGCCCAGTTATATCCGCTGCTGCTTTATATTTTAAAAAGAAAACTAAAATTCACAATCAAACAATTTACAATCTTCATACAAAAGAGGCAACTAATTATTTATTGGATGAGACTGAGGGTGGGCTGGAAAGTGACGTTTTTGTTTCTATATTATTTTATCACTTATTAGAATATAAAGAAAAAAATCCTAATATAAACAAAGTGACAATATATTCTGATGGTTGTATGTACCAAACTCGTTGTACTACATTAGCAAACTCACTTCTTCTGTTTTATGTTCAAAATAATTTAATAATTGAACAGAAGTATTTAGAAAAAGGACATACACATATGGGAGAAGACAATGTACGCGCTGCCATTGAAAGATATCTTAGAGGTAGAGCGGTACACCAGCCTAGTGACTAGATTGATTACCTTGAAAATGCAAAAATTACTTCCCCAGTGTATAAAGTAAAGCTCCTTAAATATGATTTTTTTAAAAAAATTTTCTAATATTAAATATTATACATAAATTAGACCAGGTAATAAAAAGAGTGATTCAACAGTTACAAACATAAGGTGTCTAAAATACACTCCAGAGCCAAAAATATTTTACAAAATAAGCTACTCTTCTACTGAAGGATACAAGCCTTTTCCTCAAAATCTAAACATAAACACTTCAATTGAACTTATTGAAGCTTAACAATCTAGAATACCAATACAAGATGCTAAGTACTAAGACTTGATGAATCTCAAAGCATTTGTGAGGAAAACTGCTTAGGAATTTTATTTCGGTTTGCCTAATAACTCTTAAGTAACAATTTAAATGGTTAAATGGTTCCTGCTTTGTATAATTTTTAAACATATTTGATATGTCACGTTATAAAGTTTACTTATGTCTGTATTGACTTTTTTTTTCACACCACATAGTCACAAAAAATAAAATAAATTTAAGGTTGGAATTTAGGAATATAAACTTGAAAACAACTAAATCGATAGAAAAAATCAATAGCTAACCAGTAATAGGTGTACAAATAATTAAAGCCTAACCATTTACAAAAAATTGTGGCTATTATAATGCTTTTAATAAATAAGTTTTTATAAATCAGGAATCCTTTCTGCATTCACAAGCATCATAAAAATCTTTGCTGTTATTGATGACCCTCAACACAGGGCAGCTTTTCTCATGAAAATACCATTTCTCTAAAGAATTTCTCACAACACAAACTTTTATAAAAAAAAAAGACACTGGGCCCTTGACATATGTCTATTTATAAGTCTGGCACTGTTTGAAAGCAGGCAATAACATAATTTAAAACTTGCTCTATACAATTTATTGAAAATTTTATGGCATTTTTTAACAGCCTCCCTTATTTATTTTACGTTTTCCAAAAACGTGCTGTATTAAATATATAAATTTACGGAAAACAATCCAATATATCTAAGATCTAAGAAGACGTGTTTGCCCCTTTACCCCAAAAATCCGACCTCAACTATAATACTATTGAAAATGACTTTATTTTTATGTATAATGAATTTTATGTTAAGAAGTTACATAAAATTTATTATACATAAAAATGTATAATGACTTATCAACCTTAAAATTATTTTTATTGTAGTTTCTGCAGGATTCCAACAGATAAAAAATATCAGAATTCCATGAACATTTTCTAATTTTTCCAGGATATTTGACAAAAAATTCCAGGACTTTTTTAGGATACTTCCCAAGATAATAAAAAATTGAAGGCCTATCCAGGATTTTAGCTTAAAAAAACTCAGCTAAATTTCAGCGAGTTTAGGTAAAATAAAAATTTTAATTCGAAATAAAGCAAAAAAATTTTAATTATGAAACCAATTTTACTTAAATATAAGACAAATATTTTTTTTTTTGTGAAGAATTTGTTATAAAAAGTTCTAGGACTTTAGGAAGATTTTTAAGAAAAATTAAAAATTGAAGAACTTTCCAGGACACTAGGGGCCATC